CACCAGCCATGTTTCAAGTGCTCAGCAGCCATATGTGGCTAGTGGCTACCATATTGGACAGTTGAAAACACATTTCTATGACTGAAAAAGTTCCAATGGACAGCGCTGGGCTAGTGAAGTAGAAAAATTGGGATGAGAAGAGAGGTTAGAGACAGCAGCCTGAAAAGGATCATGAATGTTGTTGTAGGTAAGGACTTTGGATTCTGCGAGTACAATGGGAAACCTTTGGATAGTTTTAAGCAGGAGAATGACATCACCTGATCTACATTTTTAAAATATCACTCTGGCTGCTATGTAGAAAGTAAATTTTAAAAGGGCAATACCAGTTAAGAGGCTATTACAATTGTCCTGGCCCTGGACTTTGGTTGTTATTATAAGAGGGATGGTGAAAAGTAGATTGATTCAGGATTTAATTTAGAGATAGAATCAGGTGGATTTGATAGTAGATTGGAAGTAAAGCAAAGTAAACAGAGGATGGAATCAAGACTGATGACCTCTTTTGGAGGTCTAAGAAACTAGGTATGTTCTTTACTGGGTTGGGGTAAGACTGAGGAGGAATAGTTTGGGTGTTTGGGAGGTGGGGACGGAGTGGGGAGAGTTGAAAGTAAGAATTCTGTTTTGGATATACTGTACTTTAAATACCTATTGGTACGTATACTTAGAGGTCAGGTAGGTGGTGGAGAATGAGTGAACTCATATTATGGAGTGTAAACTTTTTGTTTTACAATAAATTTCCTTTAAGCATAATTATAATTGGCAAACTGCAAATGATAAACAGTTAATTTCTAGATCCTCTTCACAAAGAGCTAGTGAAAACACATTAGCTACATTTGTCAAAGTGGAGAGCTTTGTCAAGTCAAATTTGAATTTGTCTTTCTGTTATCTAAGTTCTACTATTTTTCTATGTACCACATTTTCCTTAACTTATGATTGAATTTCCAAATTTTACATTCCAATCACTATATCCTTTCACCATATTCAATCTGTATGCTGAGCAAATAATCCAAGAAACTGGACTGTAGGAAGAAGAACACGGCATCAGAATTGGAAGACTCATAGACAACCTTTGATATGCAGATGACACAATCTTGCTTGCTTAAAGTCAAGAGGACTTGAAGCACTTATTGATGAAGATCAAAGACCACAGCCTTAAGTATGGATTACACCTCAACATAAAGAAAACAAAAATCCTCACAACTGGACCAATAAGCAACATCAGGATAAATGGAGAAAAGATTGAAGTTGTCAAGGATTTCATTTTACTTGGATCCACAATGAACACCTATGGAAGCAGCAGTCAAGAAATCAA